ATGATTTGCTCTTTCGCGCTGAGATTTTCTTTCAACGTAAAACATTTTTCAATTTAAATTACTTTAAATCTCTGCATGGAAAATTTTTACAAGGTCGTCAAAGCGAAAAGTTGAAAAGTTGGTTTTTATCTTTGTTTATCAAAACTTCATGTTTAAAATAAGGCTTACAAACTTTAGAGCAAAAAAATTACTGACTTTTATTTGCATTTTTATACTGTTTGAAAAAAAAAAAAAACTAATAAAAAAGAATTAATATATAATTATTAATTAATATATTATTAGTTCTTTTTTATTAGTTTTTTTTTTCAAACAGTATAAATATGCTAATAAAAACCAGCAATTTTTTTACTTTAACGTTTTTAAGCCTTATTTTAAACATGAAGTATAATTCGATTTATTAAACCAAATTTTTTTGTTTTATCTTTTATTGGAAAACTTGAAATAGAAAAATTGAATAAAAACATCAACCATTTAAATGAAAAACTTAATTATATTTAAACTTTTATTAGTCCTTTATTCAAGAAACAATAAATTATAAAAAACGTGGTATCTAAGTTTTTGACAATGTTTTTTGATTTATTGACGATAACTTTTTCCCCCCATTACCGCACATCGGCGCGATGTTTGTTTATCAATTTGAACCAAAATAAATATCTTTATCAATTTGAACCAAAAAAATATAGCAATTTAACATAAATGTTAATTCAACTAAAACATTTTACAATCATTATTTTTTGTATCAAGCAAAAATGAGAGTAACCGTCACTTTTGAAACCATAAAAATTACTGAAATAAATTAATTTTTTTACTAAGGAAATATTTTAAATAAACTTTCTTATGTCTAAGTCAATATTCATTTGTTTTTAACTGACTAAAAAGAGTTTAAAATTTGACTTCTATTCATTTTTAGCCGTGGAATTGCCCTTATAACACAAATATACAAATTAATATTATAAAAAAAATTTTAATATACAAATATATTTTCACATAATGCTACAAAACTTATTCTTGTAAGTAATTATGTGTTAGTTGAAAAAAAACGGCTTTACTTTTAAATTTAATTACCAACTAATAAGTTTGCAATAATGACATTTTGTCTACTTTGTTTAATTTGATGTACTAACGTTAGTTTTTTGAGGCAATAGAGTCAATAAACTTTGGACAAGACGCATTTTTTTTTAATCGAAGAAAAGCGTTTTTTTGAAAATTAAATTTGTTAGTGTGTGTTCATTATTGCGTTTTAGAAAAAATAATATACATCAAACATTTTTTTTTTTTTATGCTCTTTCATATGAGATCATATCTTTATAGCACTTAGGGATCCCTTTAAACTGTTTCTTATTAGACGTATTTTAGTAGTCAGACATTTAAATTTTTTTCTTAAGTATTTTCACCCAAAAAATACCAAAAAAAAACTATTATACCGGACTATTAATTATCATAGCGGACGACTCAAATAAAAAATAAAAACTATTTCAGTCGCCTGCAGGGCAAACGGGAAAAAACCACTGTCCTAATAAAAAAAAAAATCAGTCGGAACCTCGTGGAACCAACGCGACCAGTTTTTTGATCTTAACTTAATTACAAAACATAATTAAAAATTATTTTCTATTAGAGTTGTTAGTTTTTCAGATATATTAGTAGTTTTTCAGATTTATATTAATTGATTTTTTTATAGCAAATGGTTTTAATTTTTTTAAATTTCTCTTTCGTTGATATTTCTTTCTTTTTTTTATTATAGTTTAGCCTGTTTATAATTATTTCTATTGTTGGTTTTTTTCAGCATGTTATTATCTAAAGATTTCTAAATTAAATTATCTAAAGAACCATGATGAAGCTGTCAAAAAAAAACAAAAAAAACAATTACATGCGTGGTGATTGGAGATTGAAGATTGGAGCACAATCGCACGCTTTTTACGCTCTTTCTACAACTGATGTACCTAATAAAAATGAAAGGAATGACCAAAAAAAAAAAAAAAAAAAAAGTTAAATTAGAAAATTAAAAAAAAAATTGCAAAAAAATTTTTTTAAAGAAAAAAACTAATTGTAAAGATGTGATTCACAATTGTGATATGCTTAATTCGAGCCCTGACAAATGTTATTCATTTGGACTATGTTTAAAAGGGAGACACCATTACTAGTCAATACTATGTAAGAAATTGATTGAAACCTATTACATACAAAACAAATAGGCAAAGACCGTTACAGGAACTGAAAATTTTAAATTTCTCCACAATAACGCTCTACTCTATGTTGCTTAAATCGCCACAGATTATCTTAACCAAGCTTAAATCACAATTTGCCACCCACTCAGGCTTGGTTGGGAAGCAGGAGCGATCACTCTCAAATACTGACCACGGAAAATATATTTAGTTGCGAAAAACTGGCCGGGTTTTAAGAATATTTAAGTTTATCTACGAACCAAAAAATTTTTGTTTTACGGACATGCATGGAAACATAATAAACTTGAATGTTCTCAAAACATTTTTGTGCGAAAGAATAAAAAGAATATTCTCGAACACTAAAAACTCGCCAAATTAACGAAGAAACGAAGAAATTCTATTGGTTCAAAAAATAAAAATTTTAGAAAATGTTTTACAAAGGATTTGTTACGTTTTGAGATTTCTAGCATAAATTGTTTTAAGAATAAATATATTATTTGTTTACAAAAATAAAAGTTTTAAATATATATTAAATTGTCAAAATTTTAAAAGTTTATTATAAATTATAGATTTTATTAGTATATTCTTATTTTTTATTTAAAAAGTATGTATTAATTATGTAAATTTAATTTTGTTTATCTGTTTTTTATCGCAATGTATCTTTTAAAGCAATTTTTATGATTTAAATAAAGACTTACAAAAATAATTGCGTTTTCAATGAAGTTATAATCGTTATAGTTAATAAAACTAATTATGTAACAAAATAAGAAGTTTCTGGTTACTAAACACAAACAACACGTACAAAGTAACTCGCAGATGAACAAGCACCGCGCCTGAGGTCACGACAGAGCACAAATATATATATAGCAAATAATCAGATATAAAGAAAAGTTACTAAATATTGGTTTACTAACTCTAATTATTTTTACTTAAGTTGCCATTCTTAAAACTCGTTATACTTTTTTCTGCTTTAAATACTAATGAAAATTAAAAAGCCCACTCACTAAACATCACCAGTGATATTGTGAAGCAGTTTCGCTTCCTCGTCATAAAGTATTTTTAACCTTAAGTTGATTTCTATATTGTTAATTTAATTTCTATAGTAATTCAATGATTTAATTATTTTATTTGTTTATCTTACTAAGAAGAATTGATTCAAATATGTTAAACTTTTCAAACTACGCGAAACATAAAATAGGTATTGAAAAATTAACTTTATTATTTATAAAATAATTTAGCTTAAATAAAACTAAAACTTGCAAACTTTGTTAAATAAAGAATATTTGTTTCCTTTTTAAACAATCGTAAGTTGTTACTTTATATAAAAAATATCGCTTAATTTTATAAAAAAAATTGTAAAAGAGCGATGTTTTGAAAATATTTGTTCTAAACGTAATTTATTTACCTTTAAGTTTTTTCGCGTTTAAAGATATTTTATTTACCTAATTTTTTTTTGTAATTGTCTCTCATCGGTCCAATTAATCTTTAGCGCTTTTTTTTTTGCTTTTTAAAATGTTCTCAAAACGACTAAAAAATCTGGCCAGCTTTTTGCAACTAAAAATTATTTACGTGGTTAGCAATCGAGAGCGATCGCTCCCACTTCCCGACCAAGCCTGCCCACTATACTTACTTATTGGCAATTTGACTTCGTCATATTTCTTTAATTTTGATTATGCAAATATTTGTGTTTGCTTAAAACGAACGCATTACTTTTTCCAAATAATTATATGATTGCATTTTTAATTTAATATAAAAAACACATATTTAAAACAATTAGTTACTAAAATTTACAAAAGCTTCAAAAAACAATAGTTTTTTTTATTCAAAATTTATAAAAGTTACAAAAGCAATTAGCTGCTAAAATTTAAAACACATTTCAAAGACTTTAAAAGAAACCATGCTTACTTTCTTCTAGCGTTACTTTTAAGCAAAATAACTAAGTACGGTTTTGAAGAAAGTAATTATGTTTTAGCATGGTTTTTCTATGGGTTTACAAAAGCATAAAAATTTTATTTAAAATGAATGCATTTGCAAAACCATGCTTAAACATTATAATTGTTTCTTAAATAGAGTAATTTTATTTTTATTTTTTTCTTCTTTTCCTTAAAGTGAAGTAAGTTTGTTTGCATATTAAAAACACTTTTTAATGTTTGGAAAAGAATTTTAAAGTTTTGCTGAAATATAAATATATAATATCTAATAGAACATATAGAATTATTATGTTTATTACAGTTTTTATTTTTTATTGTGCGTTTAACAACACCAAAAATATAATATTTTTATTAACTTATTATTTTGTTTTTAGTTCCTTTTATTTAAATTTCTTCAAATCTTCAAAATAAAACTTTTGATATTTTGAATTATATTTTCTCCTTCGAAAATGAAAAAAAAAATGTCAAAAGTAAAAAATATATGGTGCCCTTAAAAAGGCAAAAAAATCTTTTTTTTAAAATGCTCTTTTAAAGCAACCATAACTATATGTTTATATCATAGAGGTGAAAAATACTATTTTGATTAGGATGTTATTCATAGCCATTTTCTAGACTCTACAACTACAGACTTTAATTGAATACTTTACATCTTATATAAAAAATTGTTCATTTTCAGTTCTTAAATCTTTTAAAAAACCAAATTCTGAAAAATTCTAACAAAACTAAAAAAATTTTCTTCTATATCATAATTTAAGTTTTTTTTTTGTTCAAAAATTTATATCCCCTGTCTGATTTTAGAATATCCAAATATTGATTTAATGCAGTTTTATTAACAATAGTTATAAAAAAAATATATTTTAAGAGCACATAATATAAATATTTCAAAAATCTATTAACCAATACTTACAGCTTATGAGTTACAACCATCTTCATTTTTTGTTTTGGAGTCCTGTCACCATGCCTCATAATAGCAATTAAACAACAAAGCTCTAAACTATCATCCTTTTCTACTTCTTTAGCAACAGATTGTTTGATCGATTCTCCGTCTGGCACATTTGCTAACATAGCTGGCCAACTGCGAGGAGCAAAGTTTTTTAGAATTATTTTTGCAAGAAGCTGAGCGCAGTCATCATAGTATTTTTGAGAGGTTTTAACAAAACTAAATCCATTTACATCACATACAAGAGATTTCCCATCAGTGCGCAACAAATCAAAACCACAAACTGTTTGCTAGATATAAAATATAATTACTATAAAATCGTCATCATCTAATCAACAGCATTGTTATCATCATCATCATCATCATCATCATCATCATCATCATCATCATCATCATCGTCATCATCATCATCATCAACTATTTATTGCAAAAAAAAAAAAAAAAAATACTTAAATTACATCTTGTAGTTGCAAAGAAAAATTATGAAACTCACAGGTTTTTCATGTTAGAACTTTGCTTAATTTCTGAAAACAATGTTGATAACACATCACATTCTAAGATCTTTAATTTTTATCTTTGAAATTGATTGTATAAAACTTACTTATCAAGGTCATTTGAAATTTGCAAATAACCTTAAGATTTATAGGATAATTTCAATTTAAAATTGTAGTTAACTAAAAGATTTCACCCAACATGGACCTTAGTGATATTTTTTGGACTGTAACACCATATTTTAAATTAATTTCTTTCCCAATTTTGGTGAAATTTGTAACTATTTTTATTATATTAATTTTGCTGAGCATTATTATATTTGAGCATTATTATTTATGATTGAATGACTACTGTTTAGACGATAACTTTAAATATTGTTTTGTATATTAATTATACAAAATGTTGTTATAATTTTATACAATCTTTTAAAAATTAGATAAATTTATACTCTATTGATATATAAAAACTTTTTAGAACTGCAGATATATCCAGAAAAAATTAATTTTGTTTTTAATAGGTTTTTTTTTTTAGCCTTTTTCATGCATACCATAGTATGTATTATGTATGCCCTATGTATTAGTCCTTATGCAGTTATCATTTAGTAAGGATAATTGCATAAAACAATCATTTTAATTGTTGTATATTTTTTTAAACCTAATCTATTAAAAATACCTGAATAATTATCATAACATTTATTTCTAAATTCAATTTATTTATTTTGATCATCAAAATTGTTAAATCAGATCAAAATTGTTAAATCAGATCACTCTATCACAGTTAAAAAAATTACTAAAAAACAGCTTAATCAAATTAAAAGGGTCAAATAGTTAGCAAAAAAGCAAAACATAATTAATGCAGTACGCGATTTTTGTATTATTTTAAAAGATTTTAAAATATATTTTAACAAAATAATAGAAAATGCTCTGTAACATGCTCTTCTAACATAACAATTTTAGACTAAATTTAAGAATTAGTTAAATGAGTAATATTATATACATAGAACATTAGCCATTACATTATGACGGCAAACAAATAGAGGAAACTACTTTTTTATAAGGCATAACCAAAATAGCAAAATAATTTGTACCTAGATCCTACCCAGATTTTCGTGATTTTTATCCAGAACAAAATAACTTTTGGATTTGTTACAGCACATCAATAAAAACCATTTTAATGTATTTGATCAACTAATTTTTTATTCAGTTCTTGTAGCATTGAATTATTTCTAGTTTTATTTTTACATATAAAATTTAATTTCTAATTTTAATTTTACTTATAAAATAATTCCTAATTTCAGTTTTTTATAAAATAATTCCTAATTTCAGTTTTAATAAAGTCAATAATTTTATTTCTAATTTTAATTAATATTAATGAAAATATAACATCTTGTAAATTTAAATATGAATTCTGATTTAACATGTTTTTGAAATATTTTAATATTTTTAAACAGTGTTTTTTGAAACAATTTTATTATTGAACATTTTTTTCTTTTATAATAGAATAATAACCTTTTACAATAACAGGTTCTTCTGAATTATTTTCAAATTCAATGCAGCCTAGTTTCTTTACCTTCAATACACTCTTCGCTATTGTCCTCACTATTATTATTACCACCGTTATTTTGGTCTTAAAATATCAGTTGTTTTTACATAAAGTACATCACATACTGCTGATTTGATTGCATGGGCATAGCAGATATGACATAGGGGCTTAATTAAACAACCAAATTTAACCATAAAATATGCACTGCATTTACTTGTACTAAAAAATCATAATTAAATTTCAGTTTAAGCTCAATCAATCCTTAACTTACTTTCTCAGTAGCTTTTTTAGATGCCATACTCCAAAAGACACATCCAAGTCTAAGATTATAAGTTTTTCCATTTGTATGCACAATAATGTTTGTATAACAACATGTTGTAATTGTAGTGTATTTATTAACAGTTAGGCTAAATCTAATACTATAAGCTTTTGTGTCTTTTAATTTTGTTAGTTGAGCCTTAAATGTCTTTAGCATAAGCCAGTAAAATACTTCTAATAGAAACTGAACTAAAAAGTATTTTGTGTTTTTTGGCTAAAGCATATTCTATTATATTAAAGTTATAATTGAAAGTCTATCAATTGCGATGAGATCTGTTACTATAGTAGCGATATTTTTTTGTATAACAGGAGAATTGCTTACAAATTCTATAAAATTAAATTTATAAAACCAAATTTATTTAAGCCTTGCTTAAACAAACTATGATATGTGGATGTATTAAAAAAAAAGTGTACCAAATACCTTAACCTAATAAAATAGATCCTATAAAATAAATAACCTAATAAAATAGATCCAGATATGAATCTCTTAACAAAAATATGAAAAATACATGAGGAAAGAATAGAACAGTTGTCTAACTCTTTTAGATTAAAAAAACTTGTTAGCATAAAATCTTTAAACACCAGTATTTTTAATAGTAAAACTTTAAAAGAATTGCATGAAATGATTGTAGAGTCTGCAAATGGAAAAGAATAAATTCTCAAGTAATCAGACTGAAGAAAAAAAAAATTTTTTTCCTCTTCAGTCTGATTATTTGGTACTTTTTAAGGATTTACCTCCCTCCCTTAAATTTATCTACTCTGTAGATGGTACCAAGTTAGGTAAAGCTACAGTTTAAAGCAGCCTATAAAGAGTTTAAAGTGGCCTATAAACAATTTTTATTTTTGCTTGTTATGCTCTTATCAGTGGAGACTATTTAAACATAAGGAATATTTATTAGCTGCAGTACATACATCGACTATCTTATAGCATGCTGCTGAAAGTGTGCTACTACATTGACTCAGAGTTTGACATGAGGCAGTGATCTTTTTTCTTTTATCATTCTCGTAAATATTCCTTATGTTTAAAAAGTTTCCACTGACGAGAACGCAATAAGTGAAAAAATAAAATTATTTTAGGGGTAAAGCTACAGTTAGGAGGCCTAAAGTAATTATATTTTTTCCAGGGGGTTTTGCTACATCGACTATCTTATAGCCTGACTCGCAACAGAGTGCTGCTACATTTTAGGCTGCTTAGCTGTAGGATTACCCAAAAGTATCTACAACAAACTGAAAGCAGAAAAATAAAAAGGGAATTTGTACACAGGTAGAGAATAACAAATTTGTAAATTGGTATAATAAGAATTTCTTTTAAAATTTAATTTAAAGTTAGACTTAGAAATCTAGTTTTAAATTGAAAAACAAAAATATTTTTATGCATCATACATATTTAATATTTGTATTATGTAACATTTATACAATTGCATTATTTTAACATATTTTTTATTAACATTTTCATTTATTGCACTAAAAACATCAATTTCTGTAGACATTTCTGTTACCATTTTTACACAGTTAACAAAATTTCCGTTTTAATTATGAGAGGGAATTCAAAGGTTTAAAATATATTGTATTTGTTTATTAATATTATATTAATTTTTTATATTTCAGAAAATTCAACATTGCATAAAAATCTTGTGATCATGATATTATTAGTAAATAGTTAACTTTATTTTTTTATTAAATTTAACTGCAATAAAATTCTTGAAACAAAATAACTTTCGCTACTAGACTTTAAAACCAACCTGAATCCTTGTTGCTTCTGTTTGCTTACAAATCCGTTCACAAAATTTTTGTCTCGATAAAGCCTTGTTTGGTTTGTTAAAATAAAAGGTTTGTTAAAAAACACGATTTAATTGCGCCGTTATAATTGACCAAGAAATTAGAATCCAGTTAAAAAAATATTAAATAATAATTAATAACATTCCACAAATATATGTTTATAAAGAATTTTATTGTTACCTTAAAAAAATTCAAATATTGTTGAAAATAAAATAATTTTTTTTTTTTTAATTATCTTTATATTATTATTGGGATAAGTTCAGATTGATAGACAGGATGTACAAAATAAAAAGCGGATTATAATTTTTTTTTTCAATTCCTTGAAAAACAATTTCTTAACTTAACACGATGATTTTGATCTTTAAAATAGTTTTGATATAAAAAGTTGGCGCCTAAGCAAAAAAGCGCGCGTTTGAAAATACTTCTTACGCATAGCAGTTAAGGTGCTTTAAAAAAATTGCCGTCAGTGGGTTAGTATTATATTATTATACAATATTAAGATATTTCCGCTAAATATCTGGTCTGCAATAAATTATTAGATTGTTTAAGGAAAAAAAGTGAAGAGTGTGTAAGTGAAGACTTTGCTTAGTTTGAAGCTCGGTGCTGGAATTATGTTAACTATTGCAAAGACATTAAAACGATAGAATACTCCTCAAGGAAGAAAAACAACTATTACTACCAGCATATAATTCTTTTGTTTACTCTTACTTAATAAATGGAGAACCTTATAACTTTGAGTGAAATATATATATATATATATATATATATATATATATATATATATATATATATATATATATATATATATATATAAATATATATATATATATATATATATATATATATATATATATATATATATATATATATATATATATATATATATATATATATATATATATATATATATATATATATATATATATATATATATATATATATATATATATATATATATATATATATATATATATATATATATATATGACTTGATTACTTTGTAAAGGTTCTAGCTCTTTTAATCTTTTAATGTCTTTAATTAATTTTAATGTCCAAATTAAGGACGTTTTTAAATTTTATGCCAAAAGTTTGAATCAAAAGCTTAACGAAGATCATAAAGAGACTTTATAAAAGTATTAAATTCTGAATAAACAACAACAAAAATCTCAACCAAATTTTTTTTAACATAAAAGCAGAAGAAGTTATAATAAACAAAAGTAAATTTACATCTATTTCATTTAATTTAAAATCTAAGCTATAGATTGTCAAAGATGAGATTTTTTTTTTTTCAAATTTCGATTCAAGTTTTACTAAGTCGCCTTAACTACGTTGAGTATTAGGATTCTTTTATAAGAGTCTTTTATAATAGTCTATTTTTTACATTTTTTGCTACAAACACATAAATATATATATAAAAAAAAATTAAACAAACAAAAAAAATACATATCTCTTATTGTAAATAGGTATGTAGTTTTCCTATTTGAATTAAACTTTGTATACAGCGATCGCGGTATCAATTACAGTTTCAACACTTAAATTTGTCAATAACATAACGCAGCGGTATAGCTCTAAAGGTGGACCGCGATTTTAAAAACCATTTAAAAACCATTGGTAAAAAAAAAAAGAGAATGAAAAAGTAAAAATTAAATGATAAATATTAAATGTAAAAAGTGATAAAAAAGAAAAATTGAAAAGCAAAAAATAAATAAGAAAACCAGGGAAAAGAGTTAAATCGGTTAAATTTCGAGAAAAAAAAAAGAACATAAAAGAAAAATAAAAAAAAAAATAAAGAAAATAAGAAAAATAAAAAAAAAAAAAGGAAAAAAAATTTCCGTTTTCCTTTTGTTTAGAAATTTGAATTAGTTTTGTATTTTGTTGTTTTTGGAACGCTTGTTACTTTGCTTAGTTGCATATTCAGTTAAAGTTTTTGTTCGTCCCTTGTTTGATAGTGCAAGTTTTCTACTCGTCTAGACAGAAAATTTGGTGTCAATTTTGTTTTTAAATTTATGATTCGTTGTTATTCAAGTTTTTTTTTAGTTGTTTTGACAACTCTTAAAAAATTTCTTACGCATTCATTTTACATTTGCTAATTTTTTGTTGTTTAAATTTGCGCGATTTAATTTGGCTTTTTCTTGATGTTTATATCCTTTTCTTTATGTTTTTATCCTTTTTTAATGCTGTCTATTGTTTTTAAATATCCTTGTTGTTCTTATTGTTATTATTTCTATAATTATTAGCATTACTATTTGCAAATATTCTCGAAAGAACTTTTATCAGAATATATTATTGATTAAACAATTTAGTTAAACAGTAATACTACTAGAAAATAAACAATAAAATTAAACGCCTGTTTTTTTTTTTCTTTTTTTGTTTAAATAGATTAAAATAATTAAAACAAATATTATTCGGATTAAATTAAATAATTCTTTTATGGTAAAGTGTAGACAGAATTGTTTTGTCAAACTTACAAGTAATAAAAAACTTAAAGCTAATTTTCTAATAAAAAAAAGGTCGTCTACAAATTCCCGAATTAAAATAGAGTTAATCACTGCTAAAAATAAAATTTATTTTTACACCGCCATTTCCAAAAGAAGTAGAAATATAATGCAACAATTTATTTAATTCAACATTTATATTATATATAACGTTTTTATCAAAATCTTTAAGGTTATTAATGTGTACACGTTAATAACTTAACTCTACAAACACGTGTTTGTAGATTTTGTATACTTTTCGAAATGAGCAACGTAACTTGAGGCCTGAAATGCATCGACCAGAAATGTGGTATTTAGTTCCTTTCATTACTGATCTAAATACATCACTAAAAGTTATCTCGCAGCTAATTAAGTGCATAACAAACCTTCAAATATACATTAAGATATAAGGAAAAAAATTATTAATTTTTAAATATTAAATTTAAAAAATAAATTTTTAAATTTAATATTTCGATCTTTTCAGCTATTTAAAAGTTTTATAGAAAATTAGACCTTAGAAGATGTAATATTTACAGATTAAAGAAATTTAAAATTTAAAATAAATTACAAGTCAACTTGAAAAAGTTCTCACCCACACCGAATATCAAATCAGTAAAACCTTAATTTACAATTGCGCAACGTTAGCATTTTAAACGTTAGCATTTTAACTTTCGTTAGCATATGGTCATTTTCATTTTTATATTATTATTTCTCGTAGTCCATTTCAACCTATAAATCTAAAGTTTAGGTCCTATAGAAGATAGGAAAAAAAGTCCGGCTTGACAGTCCAATTAATTGAAGAAAATTAATTTAAATAAATTTTAAACAATTTCTTTTTTCAATTTTGTTTATACTTTCTCAA